CCTACCCGACTTTAGAACGTTGTGACAGAGAAAAACAAAATTGTCGAACGCAAATAACACTGGGAGAATTGCTTTAGTCAGGAAAACGCCAGTACTGCCAGTGGGGAATAGGCGCGTAGGTCACAATTGCTCCCCGGCCTACACTGCACTGCGAATAAAGGTGGCTCGGCGAAAACAACTGAGGCTTTGACTACCTCCACATGTGAGATTCCTCCCCTGTGTGTGAAAACCGGGTGTTTTGCTGGAGGGCGGGGAGAGCACGTGTGTGGAGCTGTCTCGTTTCTGCGAAAACCTAGGCAGAGCAGGTGTGAGTGTGGCAGGAGTATACGGGTTATTTGGTCTTGTCAGCCATCACGTCCGAACCTGCTTCTGATCTTCTTGGTACTGTCGGGCTCAGGTGGCAGCCGGATGAAATGGTGCGTAAACCACAGTTGCCCATGTGCTCCCATGCTGTGGGACACACACGGCGGACATTTTCGTCCACAACGGTCGAAATGTTGTGTCGATTTGCCTGACTCTTCATACTCCTAGGAGCAATCAACTCTTATACAACAGTCTGAGATAACATTCTGAACGTCTGCACTTCCGAAGAGGATTTCCTGATTGCGGAAGTCACCCTGGGGTTAACCACTTTGGCCTCGTTTCCAAAGAAGACGCAGGAGATACCATGGTCGTATCGAAAGCTTCTCAACTAGGAAGGAGCACAAACATGCCGTGAATGTCAATTAAAACATACGCAAACTGAGGGGGACAGAACACGGTGTCGACCCCACCCCCGTACTCCCTATCCGTCACTGTGCCTATTAATGGGTTTGAGTGAGAACCGGAAAAGGCAGGCCAAATTTCTTTTGTCGCTTTCGCGATCACAGCTCCTTTTGGATGCAGACTTTGATACAGGTGGCTGGAACAATTGGACACTCCTCAAGCACCCAACGATGGAGCAGGAGGAGAGTCTGAAATATGCTTTGCGGTCTTGGGCAATAGACTGCAACACCCCGATTAAACATCTGACGAAACTACTCAAAATTTTGAAGCGTGTTGCCCCCGACCTACCAGGTGATGGATGTAGGCTTCTGGGGAGGAAAAGCACTCGGACAAAGGTGACGGCAAGGGGCAGCGGTGAGTATGTCCACATGGGACTTATTAAAAAATTAACCAAGCAGATAAGTCAATATTCCATGCCTATTGTGAGG